TGTGTGTGTGTGTGTGTGTGTGTGTGTGTGTGTGTGTGTGTGTGTGTCCCCCCCCCCCCGTCTGTCTGCAGTTGGCCGCTGTTTTAGACGGCGTCCTCTCCAAGCTCTCCAGATACGATGAAGGGACGTTCTTCTCTTCTATCCTCTCGTTCACAGTGAGTTTTCTTTTTGTCTCTGGAAACAGAGCGCTGAGCTGTTTCCCCCACCGTTCACAGGGAACCTGTTATTTACTGGAAACCAGATCTGCAGTGTCATTCTACTTCTTCTTCTCCTCTTCTTTGCTCCTCTTCCTCCTGCGCCCCCCCCCCCTGAAAGGTGAAAGCAGCTGCCAAATATGTGGAGGTCCCTGTGAGTCCGTTTATCTGCCTTCTGTTTATATTTATTCACCCTGTTCGGCACAGTCGGTTTTCCATATTTCTGTTTCCATCACAATCGAAGCGTCGCTGTTGAATATGAAGCAGCCTGGCAATGAGAAGCGGCCGCTCGTTGCATTCCGCCTCAGTCGTGTGCTTGTTGGGTTTTTTGTAAGTTTTCTCATCGCAGCGTGTTAAACATGTGTGAAAGATAAAGAGGGTTTTTATTCTGTCTGCAGCTCCAGAGCCAAAGATCACACAACAAGCCTAATTAATTGCACTCTTGTCCTTGGAGATGTGTTTTTGCTGAAGTGTCGCTTTGTGGGCGGCGGCGTTCGGGTGTCGAGCGGTTAATGAACGACGGCGACGTGGCAAAGATCAGAGGCTGAGGATGAGGAGGAGGAGGAGGAGACGTGTACCGCGTACCGCGCAGGAGTTAAAGTGTGGAGGTGATGAGGCGTTAACGTTTTGGCGGTGTTCGATGTGTGAAGGAGAGAGAGAGAGCGAGCTTTAATCTCCAGAATTAGATCTCACAAAGAAGAGGTGACCTCTCACTTTCTAAAGTGATTAACAGCTCGAAATTAACAAAGTACAATTCCTCTGTGATTTAGGGTTTTTGCACGTTTTTAAATTTTTCATCTCTCTAATATGAATTTAGTTTTTAAAAGCATCCGCTGGGATTAAAGATATTTAAAATCAATTTTTTCAAACCTCTCAGGCTTCAATCCAACAACCACCAAACACTGAGGAGGAAATGAACCGTTCCTCTCTTACTTGGAGTAGTTTGGCTGTAAATTAAATGTTTCAGACGTCTACGATTAAATTACATTTCCTATTGAATGTTACAGAACAAGTCATCCAATGGTGGCAATTATTTTTTATGTGAATTTAATTTGATAGCCGTCTTTGGCCAAAATCAATCCATGCATCCAGTATCCTGAGACATTTCAACGTTACTGGATGATTCTGTGCAAATGTTGGGGGGCAGCGCAGCAAGTTGTGCGTCCTTTGTGAACAGAAAAGGGAGTTTTAAGGGAGCTAAAAGGTTTGATGTGAAAACACTCCGGCAAACATTTTGCATCAATCAGTGATGTGAATTTGTGACAGTTGCAGCACGTTTCAGATAAAAGGTTTGAATACAAGACCAAGTACCAGGATGCTGTTGACCCAGAGCAGCGTCTGGCTGTTGTACAGACTGAGATACTGCAAGATATTGTGTTGAGCTTCCTTTTAGTTCCCTCTGGTGAACAGTTAGTCTATATGTCATGGGCTTTTATTGTGAAAGGTAAGAACAGAAGGAGTGGATCTGGTCTGTCCGCGTTGTTGTTTTGGAAATGTCCGTTCCTCACACCTGATTGGTTGATGCCTTCGCAAAATATTCACATTCTGTGTGAACGGACTCAAGATCAACATTTAACAAATATATATTGACGTGCAGATGAAAGGCCTTTAGAAGAGCACTCGTGTCTGTACGCTAAAATACAAGACTACTGAGAGCAGCCAGTTAGCTTAGCATTAAAGACTGGAAACAGCTAGCCGAGATCCGTCCAAAGGCAACAAAATCCAAATAGCAGCACATCTGAAGCTCACCGATCAACACATTATATCTTGTTTGTACAACCCGCACAAAAACAAAGTGTAAAAATGTAAATTCGCCGTTTTTTTGTTTTTTTTAACGAGGGTTGTGTGGTGAACGATGTCTTTGCTTGGACCAGTGACCTCCTGGAGTCTCCAAACATCGGAGCTCAGAGCGGTGCCAGAGTCACTCTCGTTGTGGAGAGCTAGCTTTGTCCGCTCGGCGTTTTAGCCTCGCAATCTTTGCTTTTTTTTTCGGCGCTGTGTCTGCAATTTGCGTAGCTTCCTCTTGAATGCTTGTTGGAGATCTGGCACCGAGATACATCTGGAACACAGCAAAATAACAAGATGCCGGCAGATATGCAGGTTCTTTCTGTATCAGTCTATAGGTTCTCTACTCATTGGGCCATATTAAGGGTCAGCCATGTACACATTTTATTATTTTAAAATGACAAAAACTAATGTAGCAATCCTTGTAGATGTCGTTCGGTCCCTTCATTTGTATTTCATTTTACATCTAAATAAGACTTCTGAGATCCTCCAAGCATGTGTGGAATAATACAATTATATATGCAAGATAATGATGTATTTAGAGGTTCAAAATCACCATCTTTAGAGTCCAGAATAAGGATATTAAACAGATTCCTGCGTTGTGTGTTTAGTATTTGAGACTCAGACGTGAGAACGTCCCACACTGAGTCATTAATCAGCTGAGATAAAGAGCAGCACAACAGTCTCACCTGACCTCCTAATCCTCTGCCCCGCCGCCGTCCCACATATCCCATCATGCTCTCTGGTTTCCGTCCAGACTCCCCCGCTCCCCTGAAATTATAATGTAACCGCTACCTTGGCCTTTTTGGTCTTTTGTGTGGAGGGAACCTGACGCAGGTAAGCAGGTAAGCCTCTTCTCCAGGTGCGATGACGAGCCCCCCCCCTCGAGAGTTTATATCTTGATCTTCTGGTAAAGATCACCCTACAACTGCAAGTACTTGCTTTATACTTTTATAGTTTTCATTCAACATGAGATATTATTTTTTGTCAACGTTTTTCATTTTGGACTTTTTTTGATAGTTTTGTAAGTTATTCTATCAGGACGAGACTTTCTGTCTTTCATGCTTTTCCATCTTCAACAGATTTGAAAGCACAAACTTCTGGTTGCTGTTTTTATTACCTGACTATGAAAGTAAACTCAACGTCTCCTTTAGCTTTACATAAAGTGTAAGGTGCATTTTATGATCCCCATAACACATTGAAAGTCCCGTCAGTATAACCGTCCTCCAACACCAGAATGATGCTGCAGGCTCCACATGACTCATCATTATTAGATTTGATCATCTTTAGTCAGTGTTTAGAGACAAACACAAGGGTTTGAATTACAGGCCTGGACCCTCCTAAAGGAGGTCAAATCATCATTCATATACCCTGTACCTGTAGTCATTATTAAATATCACTACATATTTCCCTTATTCCTGCCTGGAAGAATCTACAATTTCAGACACCCATAAAGTCCATTTTTAACATTTATGTTTGGCGTCACGTGTACGTCACGAGAGTCTGTACGGCCAACGTGACGGAGGTCCCACCATGAACCAGGATGGATGAAAGGATGGATGGAGGGATTAATGAAAAGATGGAGGGAGGGAAAGATGGATGAAAAGATTCTCACTATTCTGTCCATAACCTGAAAAACAGCCAATTAGTTTTACTCTACGTTCATCCTGATGAAATGTGTCCCAGTAGAAACAAAGAGGATTTTACTCGAGTGATTCCATATTTTCCCGAGACTTCTCATGTCTTCAGTGATTGTAAATCTGTTATTCTGTGTGTCTCATGTCATCCCTCATGTCATGTGACTGTACAGGAGTGCAGTAGTTTGGCCTGCTTCACGTCCAGGACTTTGACCTGAAGCATGAAGTCGTATTTCTGTTCTTCACAATGTGTTCATCACACTGAGTCACACGTGTTCAGCAGGACCGACGTGTTCACACCCGCACGCAGCCAAGACACCAGCGACTGACAGCCGCACACGCTCGTACCGAACATATGCAGCGCTGGAAGAGCAGGAACACAAACATCGGGGGAGTCGTCGTCATCGTCATCATCATCATCATCATGGCACGGCTCTTCACCGTCTTTAACGCGACACGGCCCTGCAGGAAACAAGCAAACTAGAAACAAACGAACTGGCTCTTGTCAGGGGCGTTCTGGTGGTTCAAGGCGTCGACCGCGTAAAAACCACAAAGTCTCTGGTTTGAAGAAACTCATTTCTGTTAGATTTGAAAGCAGTTAACCTGCAGTTCCTGAAGATCAGAGGAAGATCATTTGTCTTCTTTTGCTGTTGCACCATAAAAAATCAACCGTGCCGAACTGCTTTATTAAAGCACACGACACTCAGAGCTGTTTAACCGTTTAGTTGGAACAACATGTTGTTTACAGACATTTAGCACGTGATGCACAGAATTCCTCTTTAATTTTAAATCACTGCTTATGAGGTTAATATTCAGCACGTCACCGTACATCTACTGTCAATGGTTCAGTCTCGTCAACATGTGGAGATATTTCACATTTAAAATATCACAGTTCACAAAACGACGTCTTAGTTTAAATGAAGTATAAACAGGTTTATGAATTTCATGCTTCTTTATGTAAAACAAAATAGGAAAAACTATTTTTAAATGCACGAGATTAAAGAATATTTACTGCAAAATAAAATCCTGTTTACTGAATATTTTGGCAGATTTTAAATGATTAATTCATCAAATAATGGATCAACAGAAATGTAACAACTGAGCGTTTGTTATTTTTAGGATGATTGATTGAAACTGTTTCCGGTTTCTCAAATATGACAATGTGCTGCTTCTCCTAATTTGTTATACGATTATAAATGAAATATTTTAGGTTTTTTTTAGAGAGTTGGTCAGACAAAAGAAGCAACATGCTGATGGTCAGTAAATGAAGTCGTTATTGTTATTGTACATGAGCTTCATAAACACATTTATTTTGAATTATAGAGGGATTTTGTGTGAACACATGTATTTGTACACACACACACACACACACACACACACCGAGCATCTGGTAGAAATGAACTGCATCCCGGGCATGAGACGAGGCCGGTAGCGCTGTGTAATTACCTGGCATTTCACCGCCTTCCTCCTCCTCCCCCCCGCTCACTACTCATCATCAACGGGCCCCCCCTCACTTCACACCCTCCCCTCCCCCCCCCGCCTGTATCCCAACGCCGCTTAATTTTACACTCTCAATTTTGTTGTTATCAAATGTTGACGAGCAACCAGGCGGCCATTATCCCGGTGCGGAGGGGATTACTGGTGTTTGGCTACAAGTGGAGGAGACGAAACAGGCCGAGCGTGACAAGAGCGCTGAGCTGCTTGTATGTAGGGTGTGTGTGTGTGTGTGTGTGTGTGTGTGTGTGTGTTTCTTCTCCTTCCTTTCTTTCCTGTCGTGTTAAAGTCTTAATCTCGGTGGCTGGAACTGTGCCGGCGTCTCCGATCTGTCAGGCTGCTTTGTCACCTCGTCAGAAGGAGAGAAAAGAGGTAAATGATTGAGACTGAGCCTTGAGGGGATGGAAGGAGGCGAAGATTGATGTCTCAAGTGACAACAAGGGCAGTAATATGTTGCCAGTGACACACACATACACACACACACACACTCACACACAGTCTTGAATGGGGTAGTACAGATTTTTCTCTGGCTTTGACCCTCTCCACATTGGTGCACATGTATCTTTTACTGGCTCTGCTTTGGTCCTATACTTGCCTGACAGTGTTGGGTCGGGTTGAGGTTCAAGACTCCAGTCAAGTTCTTCCACAACAAACTTAGAAAACCTTTTTCATTTTATTGGAGCTGACTTGGTGCAGTCGGAGTTAGAAGCGCGCTGCTGTTTGAAGTGTATTTGCTGCAGCAGCAAGAAGCCTCAGACCAGAAGGACGTACAGTTTGATTTCCTGCTTTTTGGGTTTCGTGTCAGAAGTTCTGTTTGTTCTGATGTCAAATGTTGAGCTCTGAGAAGTCAAAAGTAAACGATCGCAACTTAAAAAACGATGAGTTTGATGTCTTTAAATATAAACGTTTGATTTCCAGCTGGTATCTTTTGTTTGTTTTGTTTTTAGATGAATCAACATACATAACTGGTTAAATATGTATGATTTAAATCTTGAGGAGCCAAACAGACATTTGTGTTTATATCACCTCGGTAGCTTGAATTCAAAGAGTCACATAAATGAACCCAAAACACAATCTTTTCCTAAACCTAGTTAACTTGTTTCCTGTGAAGACGGACGTTTATTTTGAAAAGATTGTCAGCATGTAACAAGTGGAAATTGACACGTGTTGCTGGACATTCGTCGGAAAAGGCATGAAAAATGAGGAATAACTTTTTCTGTGAGACAAGTGGTGAAGGACGATGCTTTTCGGGCGGTTTGGCCGAGGGACAGGTCTCCAGAAGATAAGGACTCAAGAACTGTAAGACTCGGGACTCAATGACTGGAAAGAGTTCGGATAGGTCACCAATGTGCAACCAGATGAAACCAGTTCCTCAGATCGCTCACTAATGATGCCGACGACGCTGCAGACCTTTCTGATTGTTTTCGTTTGGATGTAAAACTCGCTAAAAACGCTTACATGGACATAAACTCTCTTGACATTCAAACACAGTTTTGAAACGTAGACCTGGAAGTGTCTGGAACGGATCAGAGGCATGACGAGAACCGTAACACACCCGGTGAGACGCACGTTGGTTTCGGTCTCTTCAAGAATTCTGATCGTCGATCTGACGATCATCCTCGATGTGCCAACACTCGCTCCAGAGGATTATGGGGATTCTGACAGGCCTGACCCCTCCTCTCTGTGGTCGCACATAACACTCACACCGCCCCTCCTTCTCCTGCACTCACACACACACACACACACACAAACACACACTCTCCAGATCCCCTCGCAGCCATGTGACCCCACTTTAACCCCTGGTATCTGCAGGTGTTCTTGTCGAGCGGTCTGTCTGAATTACAGCTGAGCGTCTCTGACTGATCGCAGTCTGTCACTTGCTGTTCGAGGCCTCTGAAATAACGTTTGACTTTCATTTATCGAGAGAGGCTCCGCTTACTTCTGTTTCATGTTTCCACAGAAACAGAATGTGGTATTCCTTTACTCTGGCTAAATACTGGTTAACAGTACTTTTTTACTTTGCTAGCATTGTCTCTTCAAACACATTGCTGCATTATTGAGGTACAATCATAGACTATAATAAGTGGACGTAGTCGTCGTGACGTCACCCACTGGTTCGTGGACTGATGTTTTTTCCGCCTCGAGTTCAGTATTTTGACCATCGCTATCTTGGATTTTTGCAACCAATAGTGAGCGTATTCATACTGTAGAGGAGTGAGGTAACTTGTTAAAGACACCACTTAATATTACTATTAATATATAAACATGTTTACAATGTTTACTGAGGGAATAAATCAAGAGAGAAGTAGAGTCATTTTCTCATAGACTTCTATACAACCAGAGGAGTCGCCCCCTGGTGGACACTAGAGAGAATGCAGCTTTAACACACTTGCCTTCACTCAACAGGACTCGACAGTATGGCGCGATCCCCGTCTGTAATACTAGCTAGATCGCCGCTAAAAATGTTGTGGAAAAATGAGCACAGTCATCTCCATCAGAGACCCAGAATTCCCACAGTTGCCTCTTTTGCATGTCACGCCACAAACCAAAAAACTCAAGGCACTTGCGTGATGTTGTCAATGTTGTTTTACACAAACACTACCATGTGACAGTTTGTATTCTTTTGTGTTGTCCTTGAAAACAAAAAAGGTCAGAATCCCAAATGTATTTATTTATTTATAAACGAGCCTTTTTGCCTTTTAAGTGAAGCCAAAAGGTTTCTGTGTTTTCTCCGAGGCTCTGTTTCCTTGTTTTTCCACGGGGGACCTGGCGTGCCATGCTCAGCGGCGCTGCAGCAGAACAACCCCCCCCCCACCCCCCTCCTCCTTCCCCCCAAGATGCACGGCTCAGATAAAATGGGTGTGAAAGATGTCAAAGCAATTACAATAAGCATTACGCTTGTAATGTCCCCTGACTACAGGGAGTTTGAATGAACAGGGCTTCACCCACTTCCTCTGGCCTCTCCCAGCCCGACCAGCAGCTGCTTCCACTGCAGTTCAGTCCTCCGGTGTTACCGCCCAGAGCTGCTGCTTACACCGGTACTTCACCTTCTTCTCTTCGCCCGTGTGTTCCCGTGTCCCGTTGGACGGTTGTGCTCAACAGACACACAAACGGAACATGTAGAGTGTGCATCAGTGAGGAAAATGCTTTAAAGAAATCGTTGCTTAAATATGCAAATTTAACTTAATACGTTACATTCTGTGTTAGTTTTTGTTGTGGAATCAGTGTTTGGGGCTCGTACCACTCATTTACAAGTCATTTAGAGAAAACGGCCTTTAAAGAAATGTTTTGTTAAATTACAGATCATTAGCTTTTGTTTTACAAGTTTTCTGAAATGTCATGTTAAATGAGGCATTATGTAATGAAGACTTTTAGTGAGATGCAAATATACAAAGTAAAACCATGAACACCTAAATGTGTATTTTGGATGTTATCTTTCCACTCGTCTGAAAGAAGACAAAAGTGTTATGGAAGCAAAATAGCCCAAAATCTCAAAATTGCAAAGTGCATGAACAGAGACGTCACCTTAACGGGAAGAATTCTGACTTCAAGGCAACAGTGAAGAACACTGTGAACAAAGTCACTTTAATAGTCATTTGTCACATTAAGGGAATGATTTAGGCAAAGATTCCCCAACAAACTTCCTTTTACATCAAGTCTAAATAATAAGAAAGAAAACTGAACTTGAACTGAAACGTGAACTGTGACAAGATGAAGCTGATAATAGTTATCAATGGAGCCGCACTAACACCTCTGAAGTCATGTTTTGTTCAAACCTTAATGAACCACATGAACAGAAACACACTGAGACGTCTTATTGACCCTGAAATACTCCGTTAAACTTAACAGCAGCAGAGTTATTCACTGTGCCTTGGTTGCTTCTTTGTGTGCTACAGGTGTCACACCGCTGCACACCCGCAGTGTGTCGCAGCCAACAACACAACTTTATTCACAAATATTCTTTTTAAGTACGGCAAGAAATTAAGAATGTGCCCTCAGGTTTCACGGGTAGGTTTTGCTTTTATTAAAAACGAATATAATTGCACATTGAAAGATTTATTGGTCACGTTAGTTAAGTGGAAATTCACATCAGAATGGAAGACGTCAGCGGTGTTTTAATATTTTACTGAATGTGGTTAATGAAGGTTGACTCTGATCTCCGTCATGTTGTCTCTGTCTAGTCTAGTTATTCCCCTCGCCCACTCAAGCTCTATATCTACTGTGAAGCCTGGAAGCTTCTTGATTAAACTTGATCCATGAGTACAGACATCATTATTACATTCACAACGTATGGAGAGGAGGTGATCTGTAATATTTGAATGCCTGCCCATGGAGGTTACACTTTGGTGAGACTTTCATCTGTCAGAGTCGGGGGGGATTGTTACATTGTTTTAAATGTGTATTAAATGTTTACAAAGAATCATGCAGGGGAGAAACCCGTCACCAACACAGGATTCAACCCATTAAATGGCACATAAATGATCCGCTCCTGTGATTGGTTTGAATGGAAACCGCTCCAGAGTTCACTTGACAGCTGTCCGAGATCACTCGTTGAAGACGGACCAGTTAGCTGTTGTTTGGTCAGCACCGGTGCTCCAGTCCGTCATTCACACCAAACCAAACTAATTGGGTTTTTACGCTCCAGGGTTCAGTTGAGCCGGACCGAACGAGGCTGCTGTGAACGCGCCCTGAAAGGAGCTCGTGGAAGTGCTGCCTTCTGTGCATTGCTTGTTTTTCCTGTTTGCACTATTATTTGGGGGTCTGTATCATCTCACTGTAAATGAATGACTACGTTTTAAGCTTGACTGTTGCACACTGTAGGTGTGATATCCATGAACAGCATGGATGAAGTGAGATGTGCACCATGTTACCATCAGCATCAGGCTCCACAGACTGCTTGTTGTGCATGTGTGACGTCGTTTTGTGTATCCAGCCTCCACCTCTTCTTGTCGTCTTCAAGCCTGTGTGTGTCCTCTCTCCTGCAGAAACCAGGGATGGATCTGGCCGACACGTACATCACCTTCATACGGCAGAACCAGGACATCCTCCGAGACCGCGTCAACGACGAGCTGTACGTCGAGAAGGTGTTTGACGTGAGTGCTGATCCTTGTTCTTAAAGACGACTCCAGTCGATCACAACTTGGCTTTTACTTCTGTTGATTTGTCCATCATTTCTGAGATGTGCGAACACGGTGGCGTCACTAAAGAGAGGTCAGACGATTGGAAGCAAACGGTTGATCCAGATGAACTTGTTGCACAGGAAAACTGTGTGTACACAAAGTTACTTCAATTTATTTTGTATAGCCCAAAATCACAAATTTGCCCCAGAACAATCTGTACACATGCGACATCCTCTGTGCCGGGACCCTCACATCAGAACAGGAACAACTCCCCCAAAAACCCCTTTAAGGGGGAGAAGAGAGGGAGAAACCAGAGAGAGACACAGAGGAGGATCCTCTATCAGGATGGACAGAAGTGTGATAACAACATATCAGAGTAAAAACACATTCAATGAGATGATTCATATAATGAGAGTAAGCACAACAATGATGGGAAAATGACGACTACTAGTACTAACAGCAGAAGTGGATATAGTAGAATAACAATGATAATAAAAGCAGTAATGGTATCAGCAATAGCAAGCAATGCAACTACTAATTATAATGATAGTAGCAGTGGGTGTCAGGCAGGACCACGGCAGGAGGCAGGACCAGGGTCCAGATAAACCAGGATTCATGAAACCTGTGAGGAGAGAAAGCACAAAGACTCCGAGGAAGAAGCAAAGTCAGTAATGAGCATTAATGAGATATGAATTCATACAGAAGGAGAGCGAGGAGCTCATTGTATCCTAGGGAGTCCCCCGTAGTCTAGGCCAAGGCCAGACTAGAGAAACTACATCATTAGATAACTGATGTCGGACGTGTTCCGGGCCTGATAGAATAACTTCAGTTTTGTCCGACTTTAACATCAGGAAGCTGCAGGTCATCCAGGTTTTTATGTCTTTAAGACATGCTTTAAGTTTAGTGAGCTGGCTGGTTTCATCTGGTTTGATTGATGGATATAACTGAGTATCATCTGCATAACAGTGAAGGTTAATATTACCTAAAGGAAGCTTATATAAGGTGAATAAAATGGTCCAAGCACAGAACCTTGTGGAACTCCATGACTAACGTTGGTCTTCATCGAGGTTTCATCGTTTATACAAACTGAGATCGATCTGATAAATAGGACTTAAACCAGTTTAGTGTGGTTCCTTTAATGCCAATCAATAATGTAACGGCATGTTATGATCAATGGTGTTGAACGCAGCACTGAGGTCTAACAAGACCAGAACAGAGACGAGTCCTTTGTCTGATGCGATTAGGTCATTAGTTATGTTCACCAGAGCTGTCTCTGTGCTGTGATGCTCTCTGAATCCTGACTGAAAGTCCTCAAATAAGCTATTGTTACGCAGAAAGTCACACAACTGCTTTCTCAAGGATCTCAGAGAGGAAGGGAAGGTTAGAGATCGGTCTATTAGCCAACACCTCTGGATGGAGAGTGGGCTTCTTAAGAAGAGGTTTGATTACAGCCACTCTGAAGGTCTGTGGTGCATGGTTAGTGAAGACAGATCATATCTAGTAAAGACGTGCTAACTAACGCTAACACTTCTTTAAGCAGCCTAGTCGGGATAGAGTCTTAAGAGACAGACTAATACCGTAAGTATAGTTTTTATAAAATAAATTGCAGACAATATAAACAAATAACCTTCATTTCTTCTTGACTTACAATATGAAATAAGAACAGGAATTAAAGATGCTTTTGTAATGTTCATAGAGACGTAACCTGCGTGAGATGAAGTGGAATATGTAGAACGCTGCTTTGTGTGACTGCTGATGAACTGGAGCGCGGTCAATGAGAGCGGTCATGGCCGTGACTTTCCCTCCCGTCTGCCGACCGCCGGCTCTCCTGCCGAGGACGTAGAAACATAATCACGATCCACAATTGATTCTCCGAGTGGTTTCAACCCGGGAGCTGCGTTCACGGCCTCGTCGGACAAAAGCCCGCTGAGAAGGAACGTTTCTCCTCGCTCACATCAACATAACAAGTGTCTGGATATCTCAGCAGTGATCTGCTGTTAGGCTCTCACATGCTACAGAAACACCGACGTGTTTCTGTCACTCAAACACAAGCTGTTATCCATTCCCAGCTCTCTCTTCCTTCTCCCTCGTCTTATTTCTCTCAGATATATGTTTGAGGTTAAGTACATCTCCCATCCCGCTGCTTTCTGCTCTCAAACGTTGTGTTTGAGTTTGTTGTTTTTTAAGATTAGCAAACAGCTCTCAGATCTGTTGGATGCTGAGCATCTCTTTACTCTTTATCTCAGTCTTCCCTGCTCCTCCTCCAGCTCTGTCATGTTCTCTCTACCGCGTCTCCCAGCGGTGGCCGTCTTCTCTCTCTGCACTGCATTTCCTACTTATCAAAGCTTCTTCTTCCCTCATATTCAAAATACTGATGAGTCTCCTCTCACTACTTGAGATGTTTTTATTGGTCAAAGCCGCCTGCTGAATTTAAAGTCAGTAAAATGAGTTTCTGATACGCTCTTTCTCTGATTTCACTGGTTTAGCGTCGTTCCCGTAGCGCTACCTCCAGTCTGGTCACGCGTTCACATTAATACAACACCGGTGAGGGATGATGTCATCGTGACTGCACTAGTGACTCTTATTGGTCGGTGAGGGAAATATGTTTAACTCCCAAACTAAAAGTCATGTCTGTCTCCACTCATTTGTTGTTCAAGAGGGTGATGTCAAACTCAAAATAAATAGAGAACGATTCAGACGACCCGGCATCGTCCCAGAGTTATGATCGCAGTGAAGGAACGCAACTTTCATCCAGGAAACGTTGACTTATGTAAAGATGTAACACTTATTTAGTCTCATGCGTAATAAAAGCGACCTAACACAAGTACGTATTTTAAACCAAACTAACAATTTTCCAACCCTAACCAAGTTGTTTCCTGTGAAGATGGTTTATTCTGAAGCGTGTTGTTTGTGTGAATGACGTCTCATTTAATTACCAAACACACTGAGGACGGTACAGACTATTGATCTCAGCCTTGAATCAATTAAACATGACATGATGTCATTGAAAGGACAGGATTATTCATCCTGTTTCTATTACACTTCTTTCTTCCAAACAGCAACTTTTCCACCTCAGTAAATTGTAAAATGTGTTCAACTTTCTGTCAAATTCCCGTTGTTTCCACTCCGATTGTTTTACGTTGGAATTGGAAATGTGCATAAAAATAGTTGGTATTTTGTCAATAAGCGCTCATTGCATCGTATCTTCTTTTTGTTGCACAGTAAACGTTTGAATGGAAGCACACAATCCTCCACAGTGAGGTTTGATGTCTCCGGTTCCGTAGCAGCAGCACTTCGCTCTGAGGCTGCAAACACCGACTGCTTCTGTTGACCCGTTTATCACTTAGAGAAGCACCGAGAGACGTCTGCTCGCTCCGCGGGAGGAGTCGCCACCGCACCGTCCAGCTATCCGTCTGCGTGTCCACCCCCCTTCCATCCCACGCTGTCCGTTTTCTGCACCCCCCCCCCCCTCCAGGATTCAGATTTATAAAATTATAGTTTAGTGCAGAGTTGCCAAACACGCCTGAGATCGCCGCCCCGAGTCAATGCGGGGGACATGGCAGCTCAGACCCTCGCACACATTAGCAGCATGGAGACGAGCGATGGATTTCTGCCACCCGCCGCCTCCTCTGAGGGTTCAGGGTATTGTGGCTGAGACTGTGTGTGCGTGTGTGTGTGTGTGTGTGTGTGTGTGTGTGTGTGCGTGTGTGTGCGTGTGCGCCTAATGGAGCTCAGAAGAGCCCAGTCATGCACCGAGGAAGAGGAGGAGGTGATGGCGGGGGCCTCCGAGTGTCTCCACTCAGCCCGGTTTGTGTGGAACAAAGAAAGTAAACCTTGTGTTCATACGGCGGCACCAGGCCTCCCGCCAGGTGCATTATGGGTATGTTGTCTTGTTTACGTGCGGCTGGGCGAGTCGATGTCAAACTCGTGTCAGGGTTTGTCAACACGGACGTATATAAAGAAGAAGAGGCGGTTGGAGAGTGTGGCGTCAACACGCAGCTGCAAACACGTTTGCTTTTTTTTCCAGCGTGTGCATGCTCACATGTGCATGTTCGTCTATTTGTGTACAAGTGCTCACCGGGGAACGCTTTTGTGTGGATGAGGAGTGTAATGCATGCCCACACACACACACACACACACACACACAGAGCTCCATCCTCTTCACATTAGAGGTCAGATCAGCGTTATGAAGCAGCTGACGAGGAGGAGCTGCACGCTGTGAGGGAAGAAATGTGCATCTCTTAGCAGGAAGTCATTTCATCTTCTTGTTTTCTTTGTTTATTTTGTAAATCAAGAAAAAACCTCGATGCCGTTTTGTTTACATTCAGGATATTTTTACTTTTTTAAATGGTGTTAAACAGGCAGCTGTGGCTCAGCGGGTACAGCAGGTTGCTCTTTAGTCAAACGGTTGACGGTTCAATCCCCGTTTAGTCGTACTGCCGGAGTGTCCCTGAACGAGACATTGAAGCTCTTTACAGCAGCTCCTAAATGCTGAGGATGGTTAAATACAGAGAGGTCAAATGTCATGTACGTACGTGACAATAAAGAAAAGAAAAGAAATGATTTGTTGCACAAGAATCCAGAAAACGACATGACATTTCTTTTCCAAGAGCCTGGTATTCAAACACAAAACCTTTTGTTCCCCAAGTAAAACATGTGATTTTTAGTTTAATACATACAATCATTTTTATTTATATTTTCTAGAAATGAAAGTCAGCATCTTGACACCTGATAAAAACCCAAATAATCTCATGTCACAGCTCTTTATAATATGAGAAAACAATATTTTAGACGTCAATTCTCGCACTTTTTAGGACTTAATAAATAATCACTTTTGATTTCAACAAAATTACAGTTATTGTTTCTGTTCGGTGCCAAAGACAGAATGTGTCAAATGTTTAAATGACATCATTACTGTGACACAATCAGGGGGAGCCAGCCTCCATTCATCACGTAGAAATTGTTTCTGACAGGACTAATGCAGACCCACAATGCCGTGCAGACCCACCACCCCCCCCCCTCCCTCCCTCCTCCTCCTCCTCTCATATATTCGCTCCATCTGTTTTCACTCTCGTCCTCTAATCAGCTCAATTAAGGAGCGTCTTCGTACTCAATTTCCACGACTGTTAACGCGGCTGGCGAGGCAACCGTCAGGCAGCTGATTAGCCGCTCTGAGGAGAACTCGCCTCCCAGAGACTCGAATAAACATTTCATTGAGCGGGCGGAGAGAGGGAGGAGGAGGAGGAGGAGGAAGGAAATGAGAAGAAATCATCTCAGAAGCAGCAAAATATCATCCAGCAATTTCCACATCCTTAAGCATCTGTTAACTCAAGAGTGCAAAGCAATTGTCAGCGAGCTGATTAGCATACAACTCAAATTCCAGCGTAGAAATATTTAGTGTGAAGAGAGAGAGGAGGAGGAGGATGATGAAGATGAAGGAGGATGAGGACGATGGAGGAAGGGAGGAGGAGGGAAAAAGGACAATATTGAAGCTGTCACACACAAAGGATAAGAAAAGAATAAAACATGTCACACATGAGGAAAGTTTATTTAAACAACACATTTCAAAGGTAGTTCAACGTGTTTCACAAAATGCATTAAAAACAGAACAGAAAGAACAAAACTGCAGAAAAGCATTAAATTAATAATAATCATATTATTTTACAGTAGAGTAAAATCGTTGGTGTGCCCTTCAGGGATTCGTATAGTTTTTTTATATGAAGTGTGTTTTTTCTGAACGCAAAGCCAATTTTAAAGGATGCTAATTTGCTGTGAGTGTCACTAATTGAATTGAAGATGTTTGAAAATGTTTAATATTGAAGGGGGAAACAATTCAAGCCCATCTCAAAGATTTATATCTCCGCTTCACCAACGTACAGAGACGAGAAGCACGAGGAGAGCTCAGCGTCAAACACACACACACACACACTCTCTCTCCGGCTGCTGCGAATGTTGCTAGCTAGCGTTAGCTGCAGGAGGACAAACAACGGCAACTGCAAAAACCAATAATGCAAAACGAAACGGCTCAGCCGAGTGCAGCACTCACCTGTGGCGTCTTTTATTTATTTATTATTCACCAGGGACAGTGCACATTAATCAACATTTCAGTTTTCACCTCAATGTAAAGGAGTTAGGGAGATAGATCATTGACGTCTGTAGTCCCCTGGGCAGGTTATTACAGGTTATTACAGGTTATTACAACAGTGTTATTATCAGTACAGTTCAACAGCAAAGACTGTTTTCTCTCGAATTGAAATTCTAAATCAACCCGTCCTAAAATCTCATTTTTAATTACTTTGTAGTGTCTCTCTGTGTAGAACACCTGCCGGTTAGACTCGAAATACAAACGCACAACGTCGTGTCGAGAGCGTTTTTGTTCCTCTCGCTGCCTGATTGGTGCCGGGTGTCGGGTAGACGACGGTCCACACCAGAGAGTTGAAATGTATTAACAGTTAAAGTCACTGGAAGCCACAATATGCTCAAACCGAAGCACCGGTCTCCAACCGTCAAGCTGGCTAGCCACAAAGTAGCTACTTAGCGCTACATAGCTATAGCTGGCTAGCTAGCCCACCAATTCTATCTCCAAATCGGTGGGTCTTGATTTGATTTATCCTAGTTTGTTACTACCCCATGTTAAAGCATGTTTATTCTTGCAGTAAGAATAATTACAAAAACACTCCATGTGTGCTTTTGGTACGCCGAACGGCCCAAAAAACCTTTTTGTTTTTGTTTTAGCAAGTAAAGGATGGTAAAGCTGGCGACGCCAAGCACTTTAAAACGGAAGTAAGATTACAAAATGGCAATTTTATTATTGCAGGCCAATCGGTTTCACTGTCCATTATGAAAAGATTGCATTTATCTTTTTTTTTTGGGGATCAACCAATCACACATTTGTAAAAGAATGCGTCACACTAACGTAAAAGTTTGTCTCTTAACTTTTTCCTAATTCCACCCGAAGCTGAGACTCTTTGCTAGACTTTGACCTCTTTTAATTCCTTTCAATATGACGACTAATATGAAAACACTTGAAACTTACTTTCCACTCTAAATGAGGTGCCCGATGTGTTTTTTGAGTTAGATTTGAACCAATAAAAAACTTCGAGGACAAAGTTTTGGAACACGTAAAAGTACACACAACGCATTATTATATCATCAACAACCGAAAGCGGACGTGTTGAAAATAAAGCTGCAGGTGGGAAGTTAAATCTTCTATAATCTGTTTCTGAGAAAACAGCAGCAGACCGAAATATAATTTGCTGCCGTATTTCTGAGCTTCGTCTGTCTTTTCAGATCACAAAGTAAAACGTTTTCAAAGCGCAAACTTGCGATTAATCTTGAATCCAACGTGAATCTTCTTGCATTTAGTTGAGACTCTGAATGAAAACCGCTTCATTACTTAACTTACTTAAGGAGCCAGTGTGAAGGAGGTCAGGGGTCGCTCCCACAATAGATGGAATCAAATATTTGCGTGACCTCCGAATGATCACGGACGTGTTTTGACTTTTGTCAAGTGCATGAAATAACCTCTGGACTGTTTTTCTCTCTTAAATTGGAAGGTAATTACAGTTCTTGTCAGCGTGAAATGAAGTCTGCTGGCGGCTCTTGAAGCAGATCTGAATATTACGGGTCATTACTGTGTCAGAGCAATTTCCCTGAGCATTCTTGTTTGACTGCTAACTCAATGAAGCCGCCCCTTTGTGTGCATTTCACCAGCAGCGCGCCGTCAGTGAGGATTGCTCTTCAGGTGAGAAGAGGTGCATTTGATTTCCTGCAGCTGTAGCCTGGTGGCAGAAGGTGTGCAGGGAAGAGCGTTTGATGAAAACTACAAAGACGACACATTTTATTTCTTCTTCTTTGAAGGCCGTGAACTCTTCTCTGAACTCAGCAGCATTCAGGAGTTTTGCATTAAATTGCCTGCCTTTTTAAATAAGTAAACCTTTCCACCACTTTGAGCTTTGCCGTTTTGATGTTGCGCATTGTTTGACCTTGTGTTGTTGTGTGTCGGTGAGTTTTCGTTTTTTCTGAAGCAGACGACGATCTCCTGAACTCCCCTGAAGGAGAATGTGTAGAAATGAGAACCATAAACTGTCCTTGTTCAGAGAGCAGCCATTAACATAATGTTGTTTTTTTTATTCATGTTCTTTTTGAGGAATAAACCCAGTGCGGAGCTTAAAGATGCTCCTCAGGGTGGCTTGCTCTTTGTTTTTCTGACTTCAGAAGCAGCTGGAGGATGCTTTCAGGAGGATGAATGAAGCCTCTTTCAGCTGGTTCCTGTAAAGAATTTGCCCTGGTGGTCTGAGGTCGCCTCCTCCACACAGGGAAGATCTGTTATGCAGACCATTTACATGTATGACTGATTCAGAAGGCCATGTTTTATCCCTGTTAATGCTCCAGTGCTTGATGCTTTAAAGGGTAGGTGTGTTAAAATAAATCAAGGCCTTGGCTTGGATTTATTGTTTTTGGTTTGGCTGTTTACATTGTTTTTTAAATATGTTCTGAAGCCTCGAGCATTTCGGCTGCTGAGATTTGGGATTTTAGCTGTCGCCAGTTTGGTTTTTTATGACCCGTGAGCGGAAGAGCCCCGCCCTAAAGCATCCCGTGCTTTATGGTCTGTGTGACTCTAAATGGACCATAATGTACTAAATGAACATCATGCTGTATTGAAGAAGACTTGAAACTAGAGATTGAGACCATAAACTCATGTTTACAATGTTTACTGAGGTAATAAATCAAGAGAGAAGTAGAGTCATTTTCTCATAGACTTCTACACAACCAGAGAAGTCGCCCCCTGGTGGACACTAGAGAGAATGCAGCTTTAACACATGACGCTTCGGCTTCATTTATCCTGACGGGAGGTTGCCGCTTGCTTTGTAGGTAGAAACGTAATGTTTTAGAAACATGTATCTCCTTCAACCTCTCCGGGTAACGAGTATCACTGTTACACAACATTTAACCACGATGAGCTCCAAATCCACTAAACCAGCCTGAACATGAAGAACATCTGAAACCACTCATGAGTCTGTGGAGCAGAGACGGAGAGTTGTCGGACCCTGGACGACCCTACGCTGTGATTGGCCAGTCTGAGTTTGGAGGGGCGGGACTTAGCGAAGGGTCATTCGAACGCAGAAGAAGAAAAGGGTGCAGTCTCATTGGTTCATGTGTCAGATTCAAGAATTTAGGTTACCGTGTCTCGATTCCAAAAATGTAAGGTATAAATCCCATATTTTACTTTATTGTTTGATTGTGTGCGGCATTGAAAGACGGACAAACACTTTTCAATGTCTCGCTATAAAACACCTCACTTCACTCACACACAAACAACAGTTTATCCATATTAGCCAAACATTTGGAGATCAAACCAAAAAGTGTGAGTTACTAAAATGTTGGTGATTATCCGTCACTGCACAGGAAAACTGTGTGACAACAAATACGGTGATAAAAGGTGGGCCGAAGTTGAAGCAGGCAGTGGGACTGTGAACTGCGAGGTGCTGTTACAGCTGACGGTTTGGGTTTGTCTTACAGCAATGGTACAGCGGCTCCATGAAGGTGGTGTGTGTTTGGCTGACGGACAGACTGGACCTGCAGCTCCACACGTACCAGCTGAAAACACTCATCAAGATTGTGAAGGTGAGAAAATATATATTTCTTAAACTATTCACGAGAACTTCTGTCAAACAAAAACTGATTTTGTGTTGGGGGAAAAAAAAAAAGTTTGAAATTCAGAGCTGACAGGTTACTTTTACCTACCGGATTTAATCTCCTTTTCTCTTTGGTTTGAAAAGATCGGCAGAGAATGAACCTTAGGCTGACTGTAAAAAAATAAATAAAGAAATCTTAATTTTGGCCTCATTCATGGAAAAACAGTCAGAGCTGACACTGAAGAAGAAAAGACAAATCAAACCACAAGTGTCCTTGAAAGCAGCAGCAGCGGTGTGAAGAGGCGCCGACGCTCGAGAAAACTGCTCAACTGTGCTGCTCGCTGCTTTTGTCTTTTCATAGTTCGCTAATGTACAGAGACGCGCGAGTTTAACTTGAAAGCAGCGAGACGAGGAATTATAATGGCTTCCGACTGAAGGTAAAAGCCCCTCAGACGCCTCGGTCCGACACATAAAAGACTCGGCTCGTCCTTGAGCCTCAGTCTTCACGGGGTTTTTTGTGTCCTTTCAAACGGCAAACGGCAAGAGCCTCCTCCCACTCGCCACATTCCTAAGGTGCTCTCTGTCCCCCCCCTCCCTTCTCCCTTTACCTTATCCCCGTCTCCACAGAAGACCTACCGCGACTTCCGGCTGCAGGGCGTCCTGGACGTCGTGCTGAACAACAAGAGCTACGAGACCGTCTACAACCGGCTGACGGTGGAGGAAGCCACGGCGGCCGTCAAGTCGGGCGACGGCCTGCAGGGCATCAGCATGAGGGACAGCGACGAGGAGGACGATTGAACGCACATCATTACCTCCACGTTGATACTTAACAGATCAGGACCTTCCGTCACCGTGTGAGTTCTGTTGTAGATAAGAAAAGTCACACGTGTGCAGTAGAGGTGTCATTCATCGTGACCGGAGGTCCTGATCGGGTAAGGACGAACGCTCAGGTGGTGACCCCCTTCCCTACCCCCTTCTACCCGACCTGTCACATGCTCACTGCCCTGACACACTGCCGTACATGCACGAGTGAGAAAAGACAGGGACTCGTGGTGACGGACCCTCTGGACGGTGCTGAGACGAACCCCGTCCTCCTCCCCCTCTCACCTGCGGGACAGGAAGCCCCGCCCTCCTCCACGTGCAGCCGTACTCTGATTGATGTCACTTTGTACAGCAGAGCTCAGCGATCGCCGTCAGGGCGGCTCCCTCTGGTTTCGTGTTCACCCACAGTTGTAGCGTAATGTTAAGAAAAGTTGTTTTTAACAGACAGCAACGGCAGCAAAATCAACTAAAGACATTTATTTTCATTGGAATTTATTGGAATTGTAAGGTTCTATTTGACTTTCATTCACAATCATATCTTTGAATGTTACTTTATACTGTTATGGTCTTATTTTATAACCAACCTATTTGGTTAAAGGTACAAGTCAAGAGTCCTGCTAGCTTCCTCTGTATGCTGAAACATCCGTTACAACCCACAGCACCTGTCTCCACCAGGCGGCAACCTCCGGTTCTGAAAAATAAAGTCAACGCTTCATGTGCTAAAGCTGCATTCTCTCTAGTGTCCATCAGGGGGCGACTCCTCTGAGTGTGTAGAAGCTCACCCCTGTTCGCGTCGGCCAACGTTGGATCCTTTAAGCACGTCTACAATATCTCTCGAACCGTTGCCACGTAGCTTTTAATTGGCTAAATGTAATCTGACCTTAGAGGTGGCAGATCATAACATCGCCTTGTTTAGGTCGGACAATGCGACAACACACTGACGATCGGTTGAGCCTTGAGGGTGTCATGGGGTCTGGTCAAATCGAAAGAGCTTATCTTTTGGGGACCAACAATGTGCCCACGACATTGATCTGCTTTGATGTTTCTCATCTAAATGGAAACGTGGAAGAGTAATAATGGTGGTAGTAGAGAAAGATCAGGATGTCGTTAGGATTCATCACAGAAGGAGTTGAACGGACATTTAACTGTTTTCCTTGGTCATTTGACTTGCACAAAAGAAAATGGCGATTTGTGTTAGTTGCAATGGTGACAACCGCATAAAGTGTTAGGTCTGTTTGGTAACCTATGTATGTAACTAACGGTTCGTACGTAAGTTACCTAACAAAGGTGACGGAACGTAACTTTTTCTAAATTTCACTTTCAAAGCGTGCGGGTAGTTGCGGTTTTGGACCGTCTGAAGGAATTCAATTTAAATTGATAACCAGCGATAACGACATCCAATCGGCTGATAGCATTTGAAATTGGTGGCTGAGAAGCTTTGCCTTGAAATGTAATCTGGGGTTCAGCCCAATGGTCCGTCGAGGTTTCATCCGGCGATGGGGTCGAGCTTTCAGAACAAAAACAGAAAGTAGTTAAAGGCCAAATGTTTGGTGTTCAGAGTCTCACATCTGCAGAAGAACTCTTACAACTCCAAGCTCATGGACCGTTGCTGCACCGCTGTATCTACTGAACCTTCTGATGAACAAACGACCGGTATAGCCTCAGGCGGTAAAAGATGCAAAAAAATCCACGATCCAGTTTCACCACCGGAAGGTCTTTAAAAGTGTCGAAACTCTCTGTTTGGGTAGATAATTGTTCAGAATCGTGACTACACGGTGACGCAGTCGCCGTTATCTCTGTTCATCGTAATTTTAACTGTTGTGAAGAGTATTGAGCTGTGGAGTGATTTGGTCGTACTGCCTGATGTGCATCGTGTCCAACCGTCGATCAAAGTCTTCAAAACGTGCTGACGAACTGGAAAGACGTCTGGACTCTTTCAGCGGGAACGTGGATCTGTTTTTAATCCGATCGATGTGTTTTTGATGCCGCCGTTCATTCCCGCTCTACCGTCTGTTTGCTTGTCGTCGTTGAGATAAAAGAAAAAGAAAAGTCAGTGTAGGCCTCCGATCAACTCTCTGCAACAACCGGCCGTTTGTTTTAACTGTCGGTCCGGTTTGTGTCAGTGCAGTTCAGAGGCCAACAACATATATGAAGAAGTATATTTATATTGTCTTACTGTGCACCTGTTTTGTTCAGGTGTCTTAACTGAGTGTCACATTAAAAGTGTTTTTAAAGCACCTGTGTTTTCACCGCGTGGGTTTTTATTGTACTCAAACTACAGATTCATTTATTTTTTTAGTTTTATTAGAAAAGAGACGATAACTTGTCATTGTTTTATATTGTCCACAAATCCACAACAAAAAGCATTAAGATTTGAGGAAATTTTTAATTTGGGGCGAATATTTGAAAATCTGTAGTTTGTCTTAAACCACTTTACGGCCAAAAGTATGTGGACACGCCTGTGTTCATAATGTAGTGTTCCGTTGGTCTGTTTCTCCTGGTTTTGACTCGACCCCTCAGCAGACGATTGTATTTTAGACTCCAGTGTTCTTCGAACTGGTCAGTTCGTCTCTTTCCTGTTTCAACATGACAGTCGGCTCCATAAAGAAACGACGTCTCCAGTCTGGTGTGGAGGAACTTGACCGGCCCGCAAAGAGCATTGAGCTCAACCCCATCCGACAAATAACAGAGTTAATGTAGAACATCTCCGTCTGAAGGAATCTGGTTCATACAGCAGGAATCTAAAGGGAATACCAATAATACAGAGAAAACCGAAGCTCCGGAAAACCACTGAAATATGTGAAGTAAAGAAAATCACTGCTGAATTGTTAATGAAAGCACCAATAATCATAACAGTAAACACCCTTTAAATAATCATTATTGTCTTTCTTAATTAACTCACTGTTCTATTAATTATGCAACAATTATCCCTTCAAGCTGATTTTAAAACGCCTTCATGTTCAACATGAAAAGGTTGAAGAATTTAAAATCATCCGTTGATCGACAGACACTCAAGTCCTTCAATTCAGCCGAAGACGATAATTAATATGAAATGAAAAACGGACGCATTGATATTTGGTATACGGACACAATAATAAAGAGAACCAATCCCTTTGTTTTCTCTGCTTCATCTAAGACATTTTCTACCATTTAAAAACTAAAAGTAGTCCCATCGGTGCCCAAAGACTCAAATATAATAAGAAAAGAAAAGCTCAGAGAACTTCTGCACCAACGGTTCAAATCACAACGTTCACGGCTGTATTCTGGTTTCTGTTGTTTTCATCCTTTAAAGTACTTCTTCCCCATTCCACCTTAACTCTTGTGGCTTCAAGGTGTTTGTTCTATTTGATTTGTTTAAGGAGCTTCTGTTCGTCTGCTGGCTGTCGTCCATCAGCTGCGCTTTCTTTTCTCTCATTAAAATGAGCATCAAACCTTTTTACTGCAGTCTGAGTCCTGCTGCTGCTGCAGCCTGACCAAGGACACGTTATTTATTGTCATTATTAACAATAACAATATATAAATACTATGCTGTTCATGTTATAATAATTATAATACTATACGTAGAGTTGCAGAGGTGTTAAAAGTGACTTCCTGCAAAGAGAAAAATTAAAATAAATCAAGAATAAAATGAAAATAATAAACAGAATCAGATTTCCTCCTTTTTCATCTTGATATTATAAAAATACTGAACTGAACCATTTCTGTCAGATTGTTTTCATTTCAGAGGTCAATAATAATAAAACACGAGCAGTCACAAATATCTGATGTTCACCACAATTCATAAACTAATAACGATCATCAGCAGTCAGCAGATAAAAAGAACAAATCACAGAAACATAATTAGAAGGTTTAAATAATTATTATAGCTGGCAGACAAAATACAAGGGCAGATTAACACACTGGCTTTATTACAGATAATAATATCAATAATGATAATTTGCACTTTCTGTAAATTTGCATGCAACTCATTTTGTCATCATATATATTTGTGCATAATTGTCCTTTCACAGATATTGTTAATTAAGAGCTGCACATTGAATTCCACTCATTCTATATTTAGAGCTTGATGTGAAGCTGAGCATGACAATAATAATGACAATACAGTTAAATGTAATAGTACTTTATTATTATTGTTGTAACAGTTTACTTTAAGTTCCCCTTCAGCCACCAGACAGCTTTATAACACTATAATAGCTGTGAGCAGCTATAACATTATATATTATATTCTATGTTCAGAATGTGTCAACAATTATAACTTCATATTTTATTACTATAGCGTTGTTTTATTACAGCTGTTTTACTGTATTTCACTCTTTTTGTTTGTGTATTCAGTTCCAGGCCTTCACTGCTTCTGTACGTGCACGCGGCTCATAAAGTAAAGTGATGCAACATTATGTTATTGTATAAAACAAGGCTCAGTGACAAATAGCAATGGATACAAATAAACGTGCAATAAAAACAGAAATAAAAGAGAAGAGAAGAGAATAAAGGCCGCTGCAGCTGCGACACTAAAGAGTGTGTGAATGTGTGTGAAATAATAAGCTGCTTGTCATAATTATTACTTCATAATGTTGTGTTTTTACACACTAACCTGTAAAGCGTGATTGTTATAGAATGTGTTGAGTGTTCTGACGCGTGAAGCTTCCAGTAGAAACATGAAGTCACGTCTGAGAATCTCTCGTTCCTTTAACGATACATTTTTTTTAAAATGTTTTATGAAAGGCATCACGTGACAGTTTGTGTCGCCAAAAATACATTTTTACTATTAATATTATTGGACACGTGTTTTATTTATCACTTCAGTTATAATAACTCGTTTTGTCTGCTCTCATTAATCCATTTGTTTTTTTTTCTCATATTTCATAAATTATGATTATTGAGGAGATGTTGATAGGATATTAATTTTTAGATTTAAAAATATTTATTTTTTAAATCACAATAATAATCATTTTTATTTTTCAGATTTAAAAAGAGGCGTAAATATGAATAAAAAACTTGATGTGTTGTGTGTTTGCTGCGTCGCTCTTCAGCGTCACTTTTATTTTCTCTCCATCTTTTGTTGGAACACTTGAAGAGAGAATTCAGCCTCGCGGAGCGGCTGGAGGAACATTGTTGTCGGTGTTTATCGTCAGTCTCGTGGGCTCATTCTGTGGAGTTCACGTGTTTACGGTCTGCTCTCTGTGCGTAAAAGAGGCACGCGGGAGAAGTTTGCCTTCTGAGATTTCTGCTAGAAGAGGTTTTTATTTGAACCCAAACGTGATGTTCTTCTGAACCTAAAGCACTAAACACAAGGAGAGTCCAAAAGGGAAACGTCTCGTGTGCGTAAAAGAGCCGTTTGCATCCAAAAAGACAAAACATGATGAGAGAAGAGCGCGCACGTTATTGATCATGTTCATTCTTAAGCATATATATATATCGGAGTCCATCCAGAAGAAGGTGTTTCTTTCGCGGGGAGGTTTCGGTATCCAAAAAATCCGGTGCGTAAAAAGAAAAGAGAGAGAGAGAGAGTCAAAGTTTGTGATTCCAAGACCCGAAGCCCAGCCAGGCCTGGGGTCGATGTCTTGAAATCCATTTTCTGTTCAACAACTCGATCCGTTTTTTTTTCCTGTCTCAAGTTCACCCGCGTGACAGCTCCGTGTCTTCTCTGAGCCGTGCGTAAAATCAAAAGGGCTGGGTTTCAGGAGCCAAAAGATGCGTCCAAATGTGATCAAAAACTCCCGACAGCTCGTGACCCCGAAGCGTCTGCCGTATTGCGATTCAAAAAAAAAAAAAAAAAAAAAAAAATGATGTCACGCGAAGCCACAAGGGGACCTGGGATTTACCAAATACCTTCCAGTTGAGCAGGAGTCCTGCCAAGAAAGGGACAACCTCCTCCTCTCCTCCTCCTCTTCCTCCTCCAGCGGCGACAAAGTGCAGAGAATCGACGGAGGAGAATTGAGCAAATTATCTACTACTTTTATTCCGCTCTTCCTTCCTGGACGGTAACGATCGGCGAGGTCTCGGCTCTCCGCACGCCGTTATCGAGCGTCAATAAGGACGGCGGGAACGGGGCCTGTGATTCGGAGGGGTGGGGGGTTTCCCCGGCAGATGATGCCCTGTCCTACGGGCCGGTGAGGAGCAGCGCCGACCCCCGGCTTCCCTCCAGCAGCTTCTTCTTCTTCTTCTTCTTCTTCTTGATGCGGAGGTGATGGACGGTCCCCTCCGCCGCCCAGCGGGGATCCTCGGCTCCCCCCCGGCTTCTGGGAGCCAACCCGCGGGTTCCGATATGCTCACCTCCGGCGGCGGCGGCGGAAAGCCGCTCGCTTTCTCCATCGACCGGATTATGGCGAGGACACCCGAGCCCAAGTCGATACCGCTACCCAGCTGGTTCCAGTCCGCTCCCGCGGGGAAACCCGACGTCTGTCCGTCCTCGCTGCATTGCATGATCCCGCTGGTGCCGCTCGGATACGAGCCGGGCCACCGGCTCAGCATCGCCGGGCTGGATTCGGGCCACTTCGACGCGTCGTCTCTCGCGACTCCCGCGGACTTTTTGGGCTTTGGGTTGAACCACAAGAACCAGCAGGAGGACTCTGCTTTGAGCCAGACCGCCGGCCAGTACAAACTCTTCAGACCCCGGGTCGTGAACCAGTCCTCCTTCCCCACCGTGGGCACCGTGTGCTACCTGAACTGCAGCGGGGACGGCGGCTCGTGCCCCCCGCCGGCCGGCCTGGTCAACCTGCACCCGATGGCCTCGTACCTGCTCACCGCGCGGCACAAAGCCTTCATGGCGGAGAAGAACAAGCCGGGCCTGCAGCAGGCCGGGGAGCGGTACCCGGTGTCCAGCGTGCAGGCCTTCAAAGAGCTGTCTCAGAGCCAGATCCAGCACTACATGAAGGAGCGGGACCAGATCCTCACCGATAAGATCTTCAAGGGCTCTGCGGCGGCGGCGGCGGCCCGGCTGAGCGGCTCGTGTCCCGGCAGCAAACCTAAAGTTTTCACCTGCGAGGTCTGCGGAAAGGTGAGTTCTTTAATTTCACCTGGAAGCGGGAAACTAAACCAGAGTCACAGCAAGTCCTCCGAACCCTGGACCGTGATGAGTTTGTTCATTTAACAGTCAATTAGGAGAATTAAAAATAATGTTTTTATTATTATTTCAAGGATTTTTGTTTTGTTTTCTGGATGAATTTAGAAATCTAGATTAAAATTTAGAATCGGATTTATTCAAACTGTCTTCGGGAATATAATTCTTAACATTTTAATTTAATTTCCTTTAATTCATAAGGAAATCATTTGAATGTTCGATAGTTTAGATTAGTTCAGACTTTATTTCAGGATGTATTA